CATATGCAATAGTATATTTACTGCTGTGCATTATGTGTTTTTCAAGAAGTGTATTTAAGGAGCAAATAAAGATAGTGCAGGAGTGCTGAGCTCAGACTGAGGACTTGGGTAACAGAAGAGGACCCATTATTGCAGTGGGGTTCTGGGCCCTCCTGTCATTGCCAAAGACTAAGGCCAGTTTTATTTGAGAATGGGGTTGGGGGGGGGGGGGGTGCAGACAATAATGAAGCTGAAGAGTAGAAGTGATAACTGCTCCTGAGTGTCCTTCGGAAAGTGTACAGCAAGTGCTTCTGTGTGTTTTATGCGGACCCCAGTTGAGGTAAACCGACGGGGCCCATCCATAACATCTCGCCGCCTTGGGGGGTGGGGGAGGTGGGGGTGGGCAGCACACGACAAGAGCACAGAGACAAAGGCGTGCTTATTTTTAGATCTAATGAATTTCCCTTCACTTTTTTTGTTTGTTTAACCACTCTTGCAGGGGGCTGTGGCGAGTTATGCACGAGGGGCTGGGGAGGCAATGACGTGAAGGCAGGGGATGTGACAGATGTTGGTTAGAAACAGCTGGGACATGCTAGAAACAGATCCCACGTAGGAGAGGGTGACTGGGAACAAAACATCAGTAAATAAAAAAGAAAGTAGAGTATGAGACTTTTAAAAAGAAGAACAAACCACACAGGAAAGGGGAATTGTGGGTAAAAAAAAAATGGTTGCTGACTCAGGAGACAGAGTTTCTCTCTGTTTCCACTTTTCATTTATGATATCCTGACAGAAAACAGAGAAGGTCACATCTGAACTTTCACTATCTTAAATGAAAATGTCTCAGTGTTGTCACAACAGACTTATGGACAGCCATGACTTTTCATTGTCCCATAACCACTGACAAATTCATCGTATTGTTTTATTTATTTAACTCAACCTGATCATAGAGCTAACACAAAAGAGAGAAAAAAAACTTTACATAATAATAATAATAATAGTGAATTAAAGTTATGTTGGACACTAAAAACCATAATTAAAACTAGAGGAGTGAACTGACAGTTCACGGTTTATTAATCTTGTAGCTTTAGTGAGGAAAACGTTACGCCATGATTTACTAACTTCTACTGGTTGTTCTAACACTTTATGGTTTATGTTCTTATCTTCTACTGGTTGTTCTAACACTTTATGGTTTATGTTCTTATCTTCTACTGGTTGTTCTAACACTTTATGGTTTCTGTTCTTATCTTCTACTCTATCTTCTACATCCTTTGAACTGCTTAATCCAAATGATCTGTCACTGCATTGTCATACGTGCCAAAAGAGTTTACTTTATTGATTTTTACATTATTTTACAATTATTGCTATTTTTAAGGTCTCTTCCTGCGTTTTTATGAGTCACATTTGTTTATTTAAACACAAACAACTTTGTTAGGCTCAAACATTGAAAAAGTTTAAGTAGAGAATAATTTCTTGCATGTCAACATTTTAAGCAAAGAACTCACGCAATCTGTTGGAGCTCAAGGTGTGTACCGGAGATGAAGCTCAGCTACTTCCACACCAAACTTTAGCTCAATATCTGTAAAAACTATTGAGTTATAATAATTTGTGTGTTTGCTGAAATTGATTACCTGTGGCAACCACATTCATTGACACTGACTGTAAAAGTAAATCACTTGTACGTGCACATCCATTGGTTATTTTCTGAAAGAGACAGTACAATCTGTCTATGTGTCGCTAACAGCCAATCTTTTTTAAAACCTAAAAGCATTAAAAGAGATGCAGCAAAAACACTAAGAGAATGAGGGAAACGCCCAAAATAAAGAACTTCCTTGATCCTAAACGGAACATCATGAACAAAAACCAAATCAAATCTGTTCAAATTACAAAAAGCTTGATTGAACTGAGTTTAAGGTCTGTTATCATCAGGGATGCACCTTATTATCAGCATGGTATTGGAATCAGCCGATGTTAGCAATAAAGTTAAATATCGGCCATTCCATCAAAATAACTCACCGATATAAAAGTCTCTGTTTTTAAACATATATATATA